GCAACATTGAAGAGCTGACATGTTCCTGGCATGGTGCTTGCTCAGTCTTGGATGCAATGCAGTGCCATCAGGTATAGACTTGGCCACGATAAGATGAAAATCTGTCCTCATCCAACCCATGTGGTGGAAAGTATGACTGATATATAATCCAGAATGTAAAGCAATTTAAAATGTACTCATATATGAATCAATACATCCTCCTACTGAGTTCTGGTGACGGTCCGTCGGGAGTGTTTAATGTCCCTGAATTGACAGGTACGCTGAAGTATGATAGTTGTATTGTTTATTTGCGTGAATTAAGATTGTTTACCTAAATGCTAAGGCTGGGGGTTTAATGTTGTTTGACAGGTGTTGTCGCTCTACGCAAACCATTATTTTATCAAGCGAGAATTTTGCTGTTTGGCTTATTTGGGGCTTTTCTATTGTTACTGTTTGTTATTAATCACACAGTACTCATGTGAATGCACATGTAGCTGGGTTTGTAAATTCTATATTGAGCCAGATTACCAGCTTTGTGGGTCCAGGTATACCTGGTGTGAGGTTTTGTGAAGGCTACATGATAGCCTGACAATGACAAACTTGTTTTGTGAGACAGACCACAGGCACAGGATTTAAACCTTTCAAAACTCCTTTTCCAGCCTGTAGGCCTGCTTCCATTTCCACTCTTAAATCCATTGTGATGTATTGCCTTGTCATTTGACTAAAGACACTACACTTCACTAGATCCCTTCGATAATCAATAATCAGTTATTCTTAATGTAATGTAAAAATGTCTTTTTACTAAATGTACAATTGTTGTTAATTACAAGACACCATGAACTGTCAGTGTTGTTGTCTTCCAGTGACCCATACCTTTTGCTCTTTTTGTTGTTTATTGTTTTTCATCATTTCCAATAACAGTCAGTTCAACTTTACTGTTCTAACAAGTGAATAATACACACCTAAATGTTTGGAGGTCTATTTTCAGGTAGCTGTTAAAGCATCTTAACTAAGGTTAAATACGGTAATTTGACATTTTAGTTACTAAAGATCTATAGACCACAGTGACTTTAGTTTTCCATCTCTGCATTATGTGTCATCTGGAGGAGCAGATTCAAAAGTTACATAATCTGTCGTGCTCTGACAGACCAAAAATAATTGCTAGAGCTATGGAGCCGAATAAATAATCTTCTCTATATTCAAAGACAATTTATTGAACATCTTTTGCCAAGAGTCTCTCTCTCTAATGCTACGTGGTGCGTATAAGTATGCCTTTGTATAAGTATGTCTTTGTGTATTTCCACACCCACATGTCTCTAGTTAGCACTTTGTTTAAATGTTTTATTTAATGTAAATTCAAAAATACCAGCTATAATTATGTGTAACAATATAATTATTAATCATAATAAAGTTATTATCCTAGACACATTTTATCTTATGGCTATGTCCAAAACATGCAGACTTTAAAAGACTCTTTCCACTCATGAATACCAAGATGTTACATAATATTTGGGCTGCTAAACAGCTGCATGAGAAGATCATAGTTTCATCAACCAGATGAATTTATTACAAAAAAAAACGATTTCACATTTAATAAGCACCTGTCAGCTTTCGTCTCTATGACAGTTGTCAATAAAGATTAAAGGGCATTGTATTTTTCAGAACTAGCACTAAAGAGCGAATCTGGCAAAGTGAACTCCGCAGATAGTTAAATCCATATGACGGTTCAAAATGTGAGTGAAATGGTCACAGATGAATACAGTTTTTAAAAATACAACAACAAACACTGTTATGCTCTTGATATTCACATCAGCCTTAATAACAAATGTTGATTCCTCTTTTAAATTATCTACTGACATAACATTATCCAAAACAGTATACCAACCTTAATTAAGCAAGAAGTTTCCTATCAGTGGCTTTATTGTGGCTGTAGCTGATTCATAGTAAAACCTTTGTTAGTGCCAGCTTGCTTTATCACTTCCATCACATGTATTGCGATATTTTGCTCCTGCTATATTGTTGGTGCACAATACTGATTTTTACATTTCCCCAGTTAGTCCAACAGTAGCAAAACCCTGCAGCAAAGCTGATGAAAGGCTTTGGTTAAGAAAATACAAAAAACAGCTATGAGTTAAAGCCATTTTGTCAATAATTTGAAAATGTCCAGCTTTGCCATCTGAATCTAAATGTTTAATTTTTTACCAAAGCAGAGCCTTTTACATATTTCACTTTTTTTCCCTCTCATCATTTTCTCCTAAATTACATTTATAATACCCCCGAGTGGTATTATCAAAAGACACTGCAGTCAACAGGGATGCATGCTGTGTGGGATTGGCTTATTTCTTTATTAGCAAAAATATGCACCATCAAAACAATTTAAAATATCTTCCAATCACTTTTTACTCACTTTTCACTTCGCTTCACACAATATTTTCTTTCAAACTGTCTAATGCAACAATGATTTGCCTTATTATTACAGAAAGAAATCTTTCACATGGTTTCTTACTCACATGTTTGTACACTAAATAGAGAATTATCTTTTTTGATTTAAACATTTGTGCTGTTGTCAGATGGAGTCAATATTGTCAGATCAGTCATTATGTTTTATAATACTCCATGCAGGTCCAAAATACCAATCATTTGGCTCCAGTGTAGATAATTATGTAAAAAGCAATAAAAAGCACATGTGGATTAAATAATATCTTGAGTCTGACAAGAAAACATGATCCCTTTCTTTAGCCACAAATCTCTCCATATTCCTTTTCAAGGACATCCACCTGCTGAAGTCAGCTTTGAAGTCAATGCGGTACAATACACAAAATATTCATAGCCTCCACTATTGCTTAACCCACCAATCCTCAAGTGTTCAATGGGGATTAGGTGAGGTAGTATCTTTAACAAATAGGGAAGTCACTGGAATATTGCCATATGGAAGCAATAACTCAATGGACAGGATTTCAAGAACAAGCTATTCCTGGCCTCCTTTCTGGTGCTGGACTGAAGTTCTGTCTAAATCACATAAGAATGGCACCTGAGCCTGATGGATATCATCTGAATGACCAAATGCTTGACAAAATCTGTTTATATAAGACACTATTTCAGGTCTATCAGTTTGATGCTATCATTCCTCACATGGGATGGATGGTGATAACGATAATGATTTTATGTGGTCACTAACTTATGAGCGTTGTATTTTGTGTGATTTTTATGTGGTAAATTTTCTGTATTTCCATCATACTTTATGTGATTTCATGTGGTGGTTTTTGTTTTAAGTGGGTTTTTTTTATGGCTAACCTGCAGCAAGAAAAAATACAATTAAAATTTAAGTGAATTTACTGTACTGGGAGATGCTTGTATAGTACATAGTTGGCAAAGTATAAGGTAATTGGTTTGGATATTTGGAATATTCATGTTACATAACCAATTGTTTTTCCTCTTTGTTTTATTACAAACCCATATTGATGATGTAGTGGTTTATATTGCATTAGATCTAGTCATCAAAGGGATCTCATATCAGGGATTTTTTCAGTACTGTACCCCTGATGGTTCCATGGAGTGCCTTTGGACAGGTCCTTTTATACCTCTGAGAGAAAATTGTGGCAGAGATAAAATTTTCCTGAAACAGAACCTTTTACCCATGCATCATTCACTTTTTCCTTCCTCATCTTTTTCCCCAAACTGTACTTTCCAACTCAAGGTTCCTTTGTCCTGAATTTTTTGAAGATGTCACTGTGAGATTTCCTGCCGTATATCACTATGCGTCGCACATTAATACATTTTCTCAGTACTGAGCCAGCTTTTAGTATCTTAACACTGAGACCAGTGAGATTAAAAAACATTACGGGCCGTTTGACCACCAGCTGCAGTCTCATGTTTTTCCCAGATTCCATGGCTGGCTCAAAGCACAAGAGGGATCAACAGTATGCAACAATTTACCAAATAGTTTGTCCAACACAGGCACGTGGATAGAACATATTTGGTAATGTTCAATTTCTATGGAAAATACATAAAGCTCTCTGATAGTAAGAACTCTGAGAGCTATTATTTGGATTATTCTCTCTGTTTTGATTAATAAGATAATTCCAGCCTCAATGCAACCACATCACTGACAGAACATCAATTTTATGTTTTTTGTTACCATCAAAATATTTATATTGAACATATTGTGCAATTGTACATTTGACCTGTTGACAGACAGCTCCTGCGTGCTGATGAAAGAACATATGAAGATACAATATTCAAATCATTCTTGTGTAAAGCAATTCATTGCCTTCAGGCTCAACACCTTTCATTACCTGGGCCAAGCCAAATACTGTGAAATGCCTTACTTATCACGAGTCCTGGCTTGCAGGACAGTTTGCATGACACGATGAGGATTTTAACTGTTTCAGAACTGTAAGTCTGTAACCATATGAAGGAGGCAGAGAACTACTAAGTTCGTAATTTGTTCGTAATGTAAGCAATTTGTATTTTAGCTAATGGTAAGACGCTACTCTACATTTACTGACTATTTGTCGTTTTTGACCTATAAACAAATTCAACAGCTGGGAAAGGTTTCTCAATGCAACTTGCGTGCTTCCAAGAACAATGTGGTCACTTGTCCAGATAGGAGTTTAGAAATTCTGCTTTCCTCTGGAGTGCCATCCTCCTATATTCCACATAGCGCTGTTATAATAAACTTTATTTTTACTGGATATTTACTTGAGTGCTCTTGGCTTAAGTGACAGCTAAGAGAATATTTAATATTATTGGACAAGTGCAATACTGGTTTAATTGGACATTATAACCAACAGACCATGCGCCGGTTTGGCTTCATTTGTGTTTTTTCATGACTCAACCTTGTGGAATACATCCAAACGTTTTCCACTGTGCCAAAGGAGGAGATGCAGGATGGTGTTCAAGCGTTTACAGTATCCACTAGGGTAAAGTTAACTCCTCCAAAAATTATATACCACAATTTTTTTTTTTTTGACAATGCTAACAGAATTTCCATAACAAAGCTGTAAAAGTAACACTATAAACTGTTAAGAACTTCTAACATGCTGTTAGAATCATAGCTGCATGATAAGGGTTAGACAAGTAAAACTGATGGTCGAGTTTGAGGCGACAGTTGATAAATAGGCATAAACGTTAACTGCAGGTGTGTGAAAGTCTGATGTGCTACACACACGTAGCAGGGTTCCAATAAAAACACTGTGGGAAATGCAGGATTCTGCATGCTTGAAGCTTAGATATCTTGACCTCTGCTTCTTTTTTAACAATTTAATTGATTCTGTAACCTAACCCATTTGTAAAATATGCCTATCCTGTGGTTACTTATTTTCAGTGGAATCCAGGTATTCAGTGCAACAATTCTGTGTAACAATGCATCAGAAAGGATTTATGAGCACACATGCACAGGAAGGAGCCAAGGAAACTGAATTATGTTACCACAGGGAATCATGTTGAAAACTATCCCTTGCATGTGAGTTCATAATTAAGCCATTAGTGCACAGATTCACAGTATAATCATTGTTCATTATAGGCTACATAGGAGAGTTTTGTTTTTGCTGCTGCTCACAGGAGTGAGAAGGCAATATTTCACTCTTTTCCTTCAAGATCAGTTAGCTGGTGGCCAACAACACTCCCCTGCCGCTCTTCAAGCAGTTCCTGGTAGTCATGAGCCACGTAGATGGGATTCCCTGTACTTTCTTGGTCCAGATTTCCAGTCTGCCGTTTCCTCTCTGTCCAGCCGGTGGTAGTGCGGTGGTCTGAGACTTGTTTCGTCATCACTGCAGGGAGACAAAGTTCACTAACACACACAAAAATGGGAACAGTGTAAGATTCTTAGGAAGCCAACTAATTGAATCATTAATTATATTTCATGACACAATGAATTGTAAGAAATTCCATGTAAGTTGTTTTTCTTTGGAAGAAAAGCTTAAATCAATGGAACATATTTTTCATGTGAAACATAAAATTCATTTCTAGAGAAAAACAGGTTTCATTAAGATCATGACGGACCTACACTGGATATGTCAAGCTAAATTACAGGAAAATGTGTATGATGCATGATATTTTCAATTGTCCATGGGAATCACATTCATTTTTGCAATGGTAAAGTCCATAAGAACTGATGACTTGGAAATTAATATTTAATTAATTAGAACCAGCATCCATCCATATCTATACCCACTTATCCTCGGGAGTGTCGCAGGGGGCTGGATCCAATCCCAGCTGACATTGGGCGAGAGGTGGAGTGCGCCTGGACAGGCCAGTTCATCACAGAGCTGACATATAGAGACAAACAATCTATGGATATAATTTAATTAATTTAGAACCTGCTGGTCTTTGGACTGTAGAAGAAGCCCAGAGGACCCAGAGGAAATCCATACAGACAGAAGGAGAACATGCAAACTGGGGTTTAGCAGACTTCCCAGCCACAGAAAGGCGCCAAGGGCTGACAGGCTCGTTCCTGGAACTTTCTTGCTGTGAGGTGACAGGGCTAACCACTGAACCACCGTGCTGCCCTTGAACCAGCAAACAGACTGAAATATGTAGTGAGTTGAACCGCATTAAAAAAAAAATTTTAAACATCCCTTTCAGACTTGTTTTAAGATGTATAAAAATACTTTACATCAAACAATAATTAGCATTTGATAAGGCTTTTACAGTACACGAAAAACTGCAACTACTTGCTTAAAAATTCTTACAATTACATCTTCTTAGTTTAACTGTTAAAGTGATGACCACAGGATGTCTCCTACGTCAATGAAATTGATATATTAATATTCTGCATATGTATGTGTATATGTATATGTATCTATATGTGGATGCTTTGAGTTCACACATCACACTTCTGTAAGTTAAATGTTGCCTGCCAAACAAAGTCCTACTCATAGGTACATGCCTTAAACTCAGATTTAAGGTAAGCACAGACAAACGTACCTCCTTTGGCAGAATAACTTGAAAACAGACTTTTAAACTCTGCATATCATTCTGAACAGTTAAGGTCAAACAGGGAAGTAACAACAAGCAAAATGCGTAAATAATTGACTGGCTAGGGACTTAAATTCAAAGTTTAGTATGAAAGGAAATTTAAAGTGAATATTGTCAATGTTAAGTTTTAAGGTTCATTATAAACTTCATAATTTACTAAATGGTAGCAAATAAAACTTTTCTTATGGGTTCGTGCATTGGATAACAGATAAAATGATAGGGGTCATATGGGGGTACACACTGAATTACCTTACCTTACTCCTAGTATAAGACTGTTTCATTACCTTAACAGCATGTCCTGCCTGGTTATTCCAACATAATTACACAGAATTTATAGTTTCACGCCCTGAAATGAGAGTTGACTGTTTCAGTCGTAGCCTTGAGTTAGGACAATATAGGAGAACCACGCCTAACTGCAGCTGATGAATTCCTCTGTCTGTGCTGGCATGCTGAACACATATCCATTTTCCACACTTGAAGTTTTTGCCAAGAGTGCTGTAAGTCATGATGTGTTGAGGCAAGTGGTAACATTGGTACTGTACAGCAAGATTTGTATTGGCTTCTTAAGTAATTGTGGGTTATGTTACACAAGTAAATATATTATTTGACTTTGTTTGTTTTATATATGATATCCATCCAGCGTCAAACACACGATATGGCCAAAATGAAGAAACCCCACCAGAGAGTTTATCTTAGCTGTATCAAGGCATGAGGGTATTTTTCTGACATTGTTTTGATCTTCTTGTCTTTAAACAAATCCGTACTACTAAATCATGCTGCATACTGTATATGATGGTGGCGAAAAGCACATCTCTAATGTTATTCTAAGCAAGGTTATTACCATGCATTTCAAGGCACCACTCCTGGTCATTAATCAATTTCATATTTTTCTATCTCTGAGATCAGTTGTTGGCTGTCTTGATGTTGATGTAGCAGACCCAATATGTTTGGCCTTCCTCCCACACTTTCCTGCCAATGATATTTTACTGTCTTGGGAAACCGCACCAATGATGTTTGCATGTGTTTGTGAATCTTCCATTACTGGCTTTGTCATTAGTATTGCTCATCTACTTGATATTTTTCAATATGGTCAGTGACTTCTGGTTCACACGCTAGATATTCTACATGCAGATATGGCAAGATACATTTACCTTGAGCTCAGTCACAATGTGGCCTAATAGAGACCTAACTTCACCCAGAAGCACACCATATGAGAGGCAAGGAAATTATTTGTAATGACTTCGGGCAACTTTTTAGTTTCAAAATGGAAATGTGGTTCATCAGACTCGCTGGGAGCAAAGCAATTACATGTGTCTATGTTTGTACAGTTCCAGTTCTGGCAAGAAAGTATACAATATGCACATCATAATGAGCATGGTTGAGGGAAGAAGATATCTTCTTCAATAGTAAGTACAACTGCACTTAGCTCCATGAACTGAAAGGATAAACAGAGAGTGATACATCTTGTCTAAATATTATGCAACTTCAATTATATTTAAGCAAAACTACTTAATGTGCTGTAGCATGGGAGTAATCCGGAACCACATAAACACAATTCACTAGATGAGCCATGCACAGCCAAGACTGAAACTGCCACTCTCCTCAATATTTTAAATGTAATCGCAGAAGAAGAAGAAATGAGGGGCAAAGTGAAGTTTAATATCTTGGACTTGGAATTTTACGGAGGGAAATGTCTCAACCTAAACTATGCCCAGGCACAACAACCTCCCTGAGTTTAAGTTTATGGGAAACATACCTTAGTTTAGTGCAAATGATGTCAGTTCCATTGGTAATTTCTCCTGAGGTAAAATGCTCATGCACGCAGTGCTGTCAGGTTGCTGGAAGGACTTAGTATTGCCTCTGGTAAAGCTAATAACTTTTTAACAGCTGAGTGATTTATTGAAGACCCTTTTTTTTTTTTTTTTTTTTTTTTTTTTACTAGGAGCAAGCACTTAAAACTTTAACTTCATGTTATACTTAATCACTCCTAGTATTAGACTGTTTCAGATTAGTTGTACCACATTCCATATTTAGCACACTTTCAAGCAGACACAGTGGGTTAAACTGGGGACAGAGTGTTTTTCCAAATATTAGAGCCTTGTTTCACCTCGAGAGTGATAGCTCAAGACTCAGCAGCTTCTTGGAGTCAGAAGAGAACAGGATCTCTCTGCTCGTAAGTCATATGGCCGAGAAAGGTTTACTATCGGCCGTGATCCAGTCCCATTTTCTTCATCCACCATTCGAAAAAAAATTTAAATTAAAACAGCGTCCCATAACTTATGAGGATATCAACTGAGGACAATGAAGATTTGTAAAAAAAAAAAAAAAAAAAAAGCACATTACACTTTTTTTCATACTATTTCACTGTCCTCCAAGACACTCATAAACCGACTTACTGATATGATCTAACACCCATCTGTCATGTCTTACTCACTACAGTGCTGTATGTATCTTGTGTTTTCAAATTTCTCATTATACCTTTTAAAAATGAACGAGAGTTTCAAGGATCAAATATTACCTGGAGCAACACAGTACATGTAGCTGTCTGCTACTCTGTCACTTTGAGCATTTTTCTCTATGACACTAAGAATCATTATATCCTGATAACTGTATCCTGTCGTCGGTTTCAGGGGTTAGTTGGCAGTTACTAAATATCCAACTGATCAGACAACAACTGGAATTTTCTCTTAAACAGGGTTCATTTGAACAGTTGTTGTGAACTCGCTGCTGGGTAGCATGTTTTTTTAAACCCGAGCACATTTTTGGCGCCTGAAGGAGTCGTATTGTAACCAGTCTAACTCCATACACTGTGGGGACAATAACTTACCTTTTTATGAGCCTCAGCGGGCGGTTGAGGGGAAACTGTGACTTCAGGTTCCGATGTCCTTTAGGAACTGCATTAATTCATAACGTTTTTTTGGGAGTGCACAAGAGGTTAGTATTTGTGCCTCAAAAATAAAAGAAATGTGAGACAGAGGACACAGCTGCCCTATTTTTGTCAACTTTGTTTTTACAGCTTCGGTAGGAAAAGGCAGACAACATGAGTTTTGACACCAGCATTAATTGGAATCATGTGTTGTCATGTGTCCTGGTGACATACTTTTCATCTGGTTCTGTCTATAGTTATGGTATAGTTCATTCTATCACCCTTCAGTTAATCTGTTTACCTCATGGACGTGACACACATGGAACTGAATTAACCGCACATTTTATACTTTTTCATACATTTGTTGACAGAATATTTGTAATGGGTGACAGCATACATGGTTCTATATTAATTTCAACATCTGTAGATGTAATCGCCTGCCATGTTTACTTAATTACCTTCACATGGCATTGCAGTGTCATTGCCTCGTTGTTGGGATATGTAATGGCCCTGCCCAAGGAGCTATAAGTTAATACTCATAACTCATAGTGACCACTGCAGCTGATGCTAAAGGAAATTTTAGTTTGATTTTAATCTGACATTGTACTATTTTTAGAAAGACCTTACAAAGGCTGAGCTGCATAATTTGTGGTTTTGCTGCAAGGATCCTCAACATGCAAAAAGGGTTTTGTACTATAAAGTCACATTTATGATGCTGTATCTGCACTAAGTATGTTACCAAGGTTGTGTTTTTGCAACAACTGAAAGAAAGGCTTTTTTTTTTTTGTCATACAGGCACAAGCTTGTTTACACAGGTGAGATGAATACCTGAGAAAACTGTTAACAGCTGTTCTTCTGACCTGTACCCCTCCTTATGTTAAAGGAATATACACCAATATGTCACCAATATCACCTTTGACCATCAGTGTTTCCATGAACACAGATCATAACATATGCATATTACATACAATGTATTATAGAACAAATGTGGTCTTTCATGTCTGAAACAAAGTGAAGTGGAGTAAAGAACACCATATAAAAGACAGCGATAAATAACTGCCGTAATTGTGTCTATAGTTGAAATAATAAAATATGGCAAGCGTCAGTCTGGCAAGACTAATCATTAAATGCAATAGTGTGATTTGATGTGCTCAGTGATTAAACTGAGGACCAGCAGTCTTGGAAAATAAGAGGTCAGAGAAAGGGAAACTGGAGCAAAACAGTTTTATGTTTTTGTTTTTACTGGAGAAAATGAAATGAATTATAAAAGCTAATTGTAGTATAGTAGAAGATATCCACAGAGCCTTTGTATTTATTACAGGCTCAAATAGTTTCATCCACTGCATACTTCCATGAATACATTATAAACATTTGTAGCCATTTAATTACAAATGTATGTACCATTCATGCATCTAAAGAAAAATCTAAATTGAAAATCTAAATTGAAAGTTAAACATCTTAAAAAGCTAAAGATCAACGAAAATAATAAACCATTTTGAACTTTCCTTTCTTCTTATTTTCCTTCCATGAAGTACGTAAATATCATTTGACTTGAGTTATCACTCCTCATTTATCATTATGTAATCGCTCCTTTCAGCGAGTATTGACACGCTCGAGTCTGCTTATTCTGCAAAGAATGCTGACAGGCTGTTTTAGATTAAATTAATCTTAATGTGGCTTCTTTGCTCCAACCGGTGATAAAGAACAACAACATAACAATAACAATAAATACAACAACAATAGAGGAAAGAGGTCTTAGTCTTTGCAGCTAGAATTATCACTAGTTGCTGTTTGTCTTTAATACAAGTAAAAGAAAACTACATTATCATTTTGGTATCATCTATGAGAAATCATTGCTCTGTGCGAACCACATGTATCATTCTATAGATTTAAAAGGAATCAGCCTTCCAGAAGGTCGAAGAGGACATGTGTTGCTCATATGTGAACCAACATGAAAGACAGACGACGTGAATCACCAGCCTGGTTCAGTTACAGACATTATTGCTGTTGAACTCACCATGACAAATCTGTAAATTTACAACTTCCTTATGGAGTAGAGTATGATACACACATGATACACTGAGGTGCATAATAAACCATATAATATGCATGAGAGCTAAATAAATAAATTAAGAAAAAAAGTACTGTACTGTGTAGTGTTTTACTTTATTAAAAGGAGAATCAACATCAAGTTGTCTCTTACTAAAATTGTGATACTATGCACGATAGTAAACTATCAACAACAAAAAAATGAGCACCAGAATCTTAAGGACAAAAGTTTGAATTACTTATAAATAAAAGTACTTGGAAAAGCTGTATTACTTCCACATGTGTGAAGAGCGTGTCCAGTCTGGTCCCTGTGCTGTGGTATCTGTGCAGGATGTATGCTGGGAATCTGTCAAACTGGTGATGAGACTGATGTTTATCACATGCCTTTCCTCAGACTCACAGTGACTATCTGGACTCACGCAGAAACTGGCGGCAGTCAGA